CGAGGAAAAAAGAGAAAGAGAAAGAGACTTTTTCGTTAATGATCTATTCGTTATTGTTCGTTGAATGAACAGACAAAAAAATGAAAAATAAGAATAATTAAATCCCGAAGAAATTAAATATCATAATAGAGACTGAGAGATAGAAAAGATATAGAAAAAAAATAGAGTCTACAGTTTGTAGTCTAATGCAAAAAAATCATCGTATTACGGATGTAGTATGAAGATGGATATAGTACGAAGATGTCAAAGATGGTGAAAATGATTCGTCATAGATTCGTCTATATTGGATGAAATGAACAAATGTTTCATTAAAAATTATAAATATTACTAAGAAGGTGTACATCGAAGCCGAAAGAATTGTAAGAGCTGTGAGTTTTTTTTTGAAAAATTTTATACGAAAAATAATAATATAATTTTTTAATCACGCTGACAAATAACTATTGTATTAGAGAAAGAGATAATGACAATTAGTTGAAAGAAAGTAATAAAATAGAAAGATGAGAGATCATAGACGAAGAGAAAATTGAAGAAGGAGAATTGGAAGAACGAAAGGGATATGGGAAGAGTCTGAAGCAGTGTAGAGAGGGTGTCTGGATGAGCGGAGGGGTAAAATTTAGACCGATATCGACCGCGAATTGCGCTTGCGTGGAAAAAGGCGCGCAATCGCTGTTGAGAAAGCAACGTACTGCCGCGAGGAAGAGGCAGTCAGTCGATTGTCGCGACGACCATCATCGACGAGTAACAATCTCTGTCGTTCTATCGTTGTTTCTTTATATAGCCGAGGTGGTTATTATTTCGTATTCAATATTCCTTCTTATATCAATATCTATTATTTTCTCTATCAAAAGCATAAATTTTGCTTGTCTATATACTCAGTATGCAGAACGATTTTTTTTTTGTAAACACGCAGCTAAATTTCTCAATTCGCGTAACTAATAAACTATTTTTCTTTAACTATCGCTTTTAATGCTACTCCACTTCTTTCGATATCCTTGCAACGGTCTCGGTGATTCCAATGCGCGCACCGACGAAACGCGCATTTGCAGAAAGCTAGCATATGAAAAAGGAAATTGTTACTAATAAATATGCATCAGAATCGTAAGTAAGAAAGGGAATAGATCGCGATCAGTTATTTCTACAAGATTAATTTCTTTCTTTTTCCCTCTTTCTTCAATTTGCTTCTTCAGTTTTTTACTTTCTGCGTTTCGATAAACTGTGCTTGAAGAATTGGAAAACATAAATTATAATATTTGCAAATTCGCAAAATTTACATTAATTTCACTATAAATAAGAATAAATATTAATATAAAAAATTAATATAGAAAATTGTACGGCAAGAACGAAAAAAGAAAGAGTGAGTGAGGCAGAGAGAGAGAGAGAGAGAGAGAGAGAGAGAGAGAGAGAGAGAGAGAGAGAGAGAG